AATTCGCTTAATTTCCGTAAAGATGCGCTTAAATGAGTTATCTCTAGACAGAGATAACTTTGGTGTTCGTTGTCGCGTTGATTCTCTTGAGATGGGATGAGATGGCGGGAAGCAGACACTAGACATTCGGGTGAAAAATAAATGCAAATTAATGCGAAAAGCTCTAAGTAGAGCGGACCCTTTGTCTCGTGTCAGTCACTAAGTGTGACGGGTATAGGAATAAAAGACCTTTTTGTGATCCCGGGAGCACAGACTAACACCTGGCTCGCCGTGGACCGGTCTTTGTGTTTGGTGGCAATTTATAGATAATTGCCAACTATTAGGCCACTCCTATCGTATTCTTCGCCTCGATGTCGGGAAACGAAATCGTGAAGTCGTCCAACTGTGACTCGCGATGTGTTGGCCAGAGTAGACGCGTAGTCGCGATGGCGGTAATAGTTGATCACAAAAAAGTTTTAAAACTTACAGTTAAAGTTAAATGTAGATGTGTTGAGCGGCGGCACTGTGTTGAGCGGATCCCACTTGTCAGCCACCAATTGAAACGGTTGGATTGGTTGCTTATGGTGTCCGGTGCTTATTCGACGTTATCGGCACCAAAGTGTTGTCGGTCCTAGCGTTGAGTCGGCACCAACACCATAGTAGTTATGACATCTGCGGCCACGGTATGGATCTGGCGTTGAGCGGTGACGGCTTTGATGAGCCAAACGTGATGAGCGGTGCTGTGATGGCCATTTAGTTGAGCGGTGTTGTGATGACCAATGAGCTGAACGGTGCTGTATCGGCCAAAGTGTTGAGCGGTGGTGTATCGGCCAATGTGTTTAGTGGTGGCGGTGATGGTCACGGGAAAGGGACACACGACTGACACGGCAAGGGAGCCCAGAGATAAAGTGAAAAGAGAAAGTAAAGATAGAGAGAGAGAAGAGAGAAAGTACGGGCCAAAGGCCCAAATGACTTACTCGGGACTTATAACCAAAACCGAGTTTATTGTTAACACATAAAATAAAACTAATACAATGTATAACAATACACTACAGTGTATTGCGCAGTAAAGTGACGGCAACCGACCTGTTTGAGTATAAGACAACTTGTGTCGAGCATTTCACTCGACTGAGAGCTCAGCAGTCTGATCGCTGCATAAGCCACTGCCTATTGCGCGCGCAAACTGCTAAACTCTGTATTCATATTTGATGACAACTTTTACATACACTACTACTTTGCTCTTATTGGTTAATTTAAACTCTGCCTATTTTTGATCAGTCGCACACTACCACCTAAAGGCAAATTCTCATTTGCATTAAAATACAATACACAAGTGTGCATAGAAATTAATTAATTCATTAATGTTAAAGTATAGGAAACAAAAACCCTTGTTAACCCCTGTATATAAAATATTTAAACCAATGGTTAAATAGTATTCACTGAAACGCAAGTGCGTCACTGCATTTACTGACACTATATGTGTCACAAACTAAACCTATATGTTTGTATGTTAAAGTATAGCTAATGTTATTTCTATGGCAATGTTAAACCCATATTTATAATAGTGAATGTGCCGCTAATGCAATTCCTATGGGTATAGTAAACACATACTTTATAATACTAAATAACCCGTTAATGTTATTTCTATGGGAATACATATCTCATATTAAGTATGTATTTAATACATTAACATTAAACATTAAACATTAAACATTAAACATTAAACATATGAGAAGTTATATAAGTAATTAAATTTATAATTTGAGTACATTTACTATTGTTTTAAGTGATCTATTATTATTCCGCTACAATATATATACTATTTATTTTAGTATATACTATATATATATACTAAAAAAATCTAATATTATTTAATAGCAAACTTGACATTTAAGCCTAACATAACAAAAACAACAAAAATAGGATAATAATAATAATAATAATAATAATAATATCACACATATATATTGAATATACTGTATATATGACACATACAAGTGTGCAATTTGTGTGTTAATTATTATACTGACTGACTCACTGACTGGCTCTCTGTCTATCTATCTATATAACTGTGTCTAACTATCTAACTGTCTATCTGTCCCTACCCACCCCTCCCATCAAACTTTCCCATACATACTATACTGTATTAATCTACTGGTGCTTAAAATCTCTGTGGCAACTGTCCAATTTGGCAAATCATCATCATCATGGTTGTCTATTAATATAATATGATAGTAATGGGTATAAAAAAAATAGCTACAGGAGCCGAATAATAATAATAATAATTTTATATACAGTATTATATATATATTTATATACAGAATATTCTAGTATACTGTATATATACAGTCAGTCTATAGATATATATTATATATTACATATGATATTGACTTATAATATGAGATGAAAAAAATAAATAATATTTTTTTTTTAAAAATATTTATGGCATTTAGTTTTTTAATTACTCGAGTTTTATCAAAAAATGCAATAATAATAATCATAATCATAATATCATATAATACCTAATATTAATAGCAATTATAATAATATCAAATGATATACAGTATATATATATAAAAAAATGTTTTATTTTTGTTAAATTACAATGACATTCAATAATAATGGATAATATGATAATAATAATAATAATACATTTATATCCACACACAAAAAAATTTATATCAAATTTATATATTATGACCACAAAAAAAACTACAGTACAGTAATGTCCACAAAAAAAATAATATAAAAAAAATAAATACAATGTATATAATATAATGTTGTTTAATAATAACAATTATTATTACAGTAATATAATACATGTTTTTTTAATATAACATATATATAAAAAAAAATTTTATTATTATATTTTCTATATAATCACATAATATTATATATATATATATATATATATATGATATGTTATTGTAATTTTTATATAATAACATATTATTAGTATTTAATATTATTATTATTCAACTTAATTTTAGAAACACTAATCTATTGTATATATATATACAGTATATCTAATACTATATATTAAATAATATTATAAATTATGTTTAATATATTCAACAAAACACAAAAAAACATATAATTTTTTCATTATTATTATTACTTTTGTTATATTATATCGTATATCTACTAATGTTTGGAAATTATATGGAAATTATATATTTTATTATTATTATTATTTTGATACTATAAATTATAGATGAAATAAAAATAGTATATATAATATTAAATAAAATAAAAATAAAATAAAATCACTCTCATTTATTTTTTGTTACAATTTATCTAATATCTATATAATTATAATTTATACAAACTATTTATATAAAACACATTTATTGATTTTAATAAATGATTAATTACTCAAACACACACACATACACACACACATACACACACACATACACACACATACACACACATACACACACATACACACACATACACACACACACACACACACACACACACATACACACATATACACACATATACACACATATACACACATATACACACATATACACACATATACACACATATACACACATATACACACATACACACATATACACACATATACACACATATACACACATATACACACATATACACACATATACACACATATACACACATATACACACATATACACACATATACACACATATACACACATATACACACATATACACACATATACACACATATACACACATATACACACATATACACACATATACACACATATACACACATACATACACACACATACACACACACATACATACACATACATAGACAAAATTATATCAAAATAAATTTTTACACTAATATTTCTAATTAGCTAAAAAACTACATAAAAAATACATTATTCATTTATTACTGTATTTTTAAATATAATATTTTGGATAAAATATTAATAATTAAAATTTTTTTAAAAATAAAAATATTGATATAAATTATTATAATGTATTTCATTGGATTAATAGAGAGATTTTCATAATACCCGTTAAAAATCTATACTTATAGATCATATTACTGTATATATAAATATTTTTTTTTAAATATTTAAATTATTAAAATAAAAATACATTTTTCTATTGTTTTTTAGTTATTAATTATTTAGAGTTTATATATTTATAGAAAAATTTATATCTCATATTACGTTATACTAGTATAATATTTTTTTAATAACATTATTACATTATATATTATATAAATATATTATATTATTATTATTATCATTATTATAACAATAATTATCGCCATAATATTAAATGAATAATTAATTTTTTGCTAAATGATCCAAATATATATATATATATATATTATGACCTAGTACATATTAATATATTAAATATTATACATATTTAATTTTGCTAATACGCAAACACATACGTTAATGTTATATTATAAATTGTATACACTGTATAATAACTAATAATAATAATAAATTTTTTTAATAAATTATTCAAAAAAATATTATACTGTATATTAAATGATAATAATTATTATCAAAAATAAAATTTAAATCCTAATAAAAATTATAGTTGCAATAAATTATTATTATTATTATTATTATTATTATTATACAACATATAACTGTCTAGTATTATATGACTAATAAATTTGAAAATTATGCCCAAAAAAATATAATTATTTATAAATTATTAAAAAAAATTTTGTACAAAAATATACTGTATATTAAATTTATTTTATTTATTATTATTCAAATATTTTTGCTATCTAAACAATTTTTATTTTTTATACACTATATATATATATATATATATATATATATATAGATAGATACGGTATATATTATATATATTTTTAAATAAACTATATAAATTATTTATATATAAAAAATGTCATTGATTATAATTATTTAAAAAAAACAAAAATTCAATCATAAAATTAAACAATCAGTTAATAAACAATTAATTAATTAATTAATGAAATTATTTAACTAAACTAAAAAAAATTTGTAACAATTTTTYTATATTTCATTGGAAATCGTCGGCACTTTTCGGCTGATTATCGGCGGCTATTAATTTGGCGTCCAATTGGCCGCCGCCGCCGCCGCCGGCGTCAATATTGTGCTGTTTTGTCCATAATTTTGCGTAAAGACTATCGGGTTTTCTATAAAGCAACTCCTGATGATTGCCGCTATCGATAACCCGACCGTCGGATAATACGTAGATAGTATCGGCGCTGACCACTGTCGACAGCCGATGAGCTATACCGATGGACGTCCGGTTTTGAGTGGCCCGCTGGAGGGCTGACATAATTTTCTAAATTAATTAATTAATTAAAAAAAATAAATAAAATTATCAATAATAAACAAAAAATTAAATAAAAAATCAATTAATAATTAGAGATGAATATTAATAGGAAATATTCTAATAAAAAAATTTCCCTGAAAATTTACCCAATATACACTGCAAACATAATTTAATTTCGTATCGCAAAAATATTGATATCATTAACTTTGAACTTTAATAACTTTTTTATTTTTTAACTTAAATAAACAAATTTGATATCAAATGAAAGAACACTTTTCAAAGTTTATAAGTCAATAAATAAAATTGCATTAATTATCATATTATCTATAAAAAAGCATAAGAAGTAAGAAATGGTAAAAAAAGTTATGTACAAAAAGTATTTTCGTGAAATCAAAACTTTAAATATTATTAACAAAATAAAGCTATTAATTTAGTAAAAACAATATTAATATCGAGTATTGCCTCCGTTGGCATCAATCACAGCCTGCAATCTTCTTGGAACACTTTGGATCAGCTTTTCTGTGACTTCTTCAGGTATATTTTTCCAGACATTAAATAACGACTCTTTAAACGCAGAAAAACTTTTTCTTTCGCTCTTTGGCACACGTCTGTCCAATTCATCCCATAGATGTTCAATAATATTGAGGTCAGGGCTCTGTGGCGGCCACTCAAGTGTCTCAATTTGATTGTCAGACAACCATTTCTTTGCCAATTTTGATGTGTGCTTTGGGTCGTTGTCCGCTTGAAATAAAAAATCATCGCTTATTTGTAGATCTCTGGCACTCTGAAGCAAATGTGGGGTCAAAATATCGTTAACGTAAATGTAGCGGTCCATAGTTGATGGAATTTCGACCAAATGGCCAACTCCCTGGCCTGTCATACACCCCCATACCATAACTGATTTCGAGTGCTTCACAGTTGGACATATATTATCAGGATTAATGCTTTCGCCTCTCTTTTTAAACACTCGTTGGCGACGTTTAGTACTAATAATCTCAAATTTTGACTCATCTGACCACAAGACCTTCCTCCAGTATGACATAGGCATCCGGATGTACTTTCGTGCAAAGTCTAATCGTTTTCTCTGATTTGTTAGGCTTATCATTGGACGTCTTCGCGCAATACCACTGTAATAACCCATTTCTTGAATCCGGTGTCTAATAGTGTTTCGGTGACACAAAATGTTTCTGGCGGCCAACTCTTCCTTAATCTCATCGGTGGTCAACTTCTTATTTTTTGCCACAATTCGACTCAATATCCTGTCCTGTTTAGCACTGGTACATCTTTTTCGACCACTTCTTGCGAGATTTCTAACTGTCCCGTACTTTTCGACTTTCTTTACAATTGATCGGACAGTATTATCAGTTGTTGTAAACAGTTCCGCTATTTTTGCGTATGACTTTCCGGTGCTGACTCTCATATCATACATTTGTTGGCGAATTGCATCTGAAAATTCTTGTATTTTAACCATTTTTATGATAATCACTGCATTTACTGTTTATTTACGTGTATTCAAATTAATAACAATGCATTGGAATCAATTGGTCCCAACAATGTGTCTGAAATCACGCGCGTTTTAAAAACACGAAAATAATTTTTGTACCTAAATTATTAACACCTATAACTTTACCTTGATATATTTTGTTATTTAAACCATTGTTTTGACCATCTAGTATATCAATTTAATTGTGATTTATTACTCTATTATTTGATATCAAATTTGTTTATTTAAGTTAAAAAATAAAAAAGTTATTAAAGTTTAAAGTTAATGATATCAATATTTTTACGATACGAAATTAGATTATGTTTTTAGTGTATTATTTCTATGGCACCCCCTATATATCTATAACTATATATTATTAGATATTTATAATACTGTATAATATATAAATTATAATATATTATAGGTATATATATTTATATATAAATGATACATAATATACTGTATTACAAATTGGATAACAACTATACTATATACAGTATATATAAATTAAAAATATAATATAATTACAGTATATTATCTATAAAAAAAAATTTAGTTGTAATATAATTATGCTATATATATATATATATATTAGTTTAGTTTTATATAATTATAATTAATTATAAAATACTAATAATAATTATAATTATATTTAGTTAAAATAATTATTATTTGTTGTAATCGAAGTTAACAAATATCTAGAGAGAGAGAGAGAGAGAGAGAGAGAGAGAGAGAGAGAGAGAGAGAGAGAGAGAGAGAGAGAGAGAGAGAGAGAGAGAGAGAGAGAGAACAAAAAAAATTAGACATAGATAGAGAAAAATATCATTTTTTTATAGTATAAAATAAAAGTTATTTTTTTATTATTTCAATTGATTTTTTGTTTGCTCTCTCTCTCTCTCTCTCTCTCTCTCTCTCTCTCTCTTTATCTAAAAAAAAATGAAAATCACTTTTTTCTTTCATACAGTGTAAACCCTATAACTAATAGTGAAATATACAGTATATATCGTATATATATATACTACCGGTAGTTTTTTTTATCGGGTAATTAATACATACATATTCGGTAATCGAGTCCAACGATGAGGTGGCCTCGTCGAACACAAATATTGGACTATCTTTTAGTACGGCCCGGGCAATGGCCACACGTTGTTTTTCGCCGCCACTCAACTTGAGGCCACGTTCGCCCACTTGAGTATCATATTTCTGGGGCCAACGTTCGATAGACTGGTGTAGTTCGGCCATTGCCGACACACGCTGGACATCGCCCACCGGTTTACCAATACTGCCGTAATTGATATTGTATTGWATGGTCTGATTGAACAGTACTGTATCCTGGGGTACAATAGCTATATTCCTCCTGAGGCTATCCAGACTATAGTCACGGATATCTTTACCGTTGATCAATATGCGGCCACTCTGGGGATCAAAAAACCGATAGAGTAGCCGAACGATTGTCGACTTTCCCGAACCGCTCGAACCGAYCAGTGCTACCCATTTGCCGGCCGGCGCTTCAAATGAYARGTGATTGAGTATRGGCTGACCCGAAACRTATTCAAAGTAGACGTCCTCGAACTTGACGGACGCCTCCTGTGGCGACAGTATAAGTGTCGGTGCGTTTGGTTTTTCCTATAATTTTGATACAAAAAAAATTTAATTATTAAAAATTTTTTAGCTAAAAAMAAAATAAYAAAATACCGATACCTTTACACTGGTTTGTAGACTYAACAGATTAAACATTGTCTGCATATCTATYAATGATTGTCTAATCTCACGGTAAACGGATCCCAAAAAATTCARTGGYAATGATAGCTGAAACAGTAGACCGTTAACCATAACCAGATCGCCGACAGTCATGTTTCCTATAATTAAAAAAATTRATAATAAAATTAATAATTTAATCATTGAWTTCATTGATTTYATTGATTACCGGCAACAATGCCTTTGGCGGCCAAAATCATAATAGCGGCCAACGAGGCGCTAAAAATGGCATTTTGACCGAAATTCAAAAACGACAAACTCGTGGTTGTCTTCAACGACGCTTCCGTATATTTGGACAACAATTTATCGTATTGTTTACTCTCGTATTGTTCGTTATTAAAATATTTAACCGTTTCGTAGTTAATCAATGAGTCAATAGCTTGATTACCGGCCAGATTTTCGGCCCGATTCATATGTACCCTGAATTTTGTACGCCATTGTGTTATGCCCAGTGTAAACGCTGTATAGGCACCGATACAGCCYARGGTTATGCTAGCAAAYTGGGCGCCAAAATTATAGTACATAATACCGCTGACCAGTCCTACTTCCAATATAGTTGGGACGACATTGAATACCAGTGCGCTTAACACAAAATTGATGCCACTGTGTGTGTGTGTGTGTGTGTGTGTCCCGGGAAATAACCGAAAAAATAAACAATTAATTAATTAACCGATAAATCAYTATAATATGTATATTAGTAGTTGTATACCGAGTTCCCCGATCGATGGCCTTAGACAAGGCACCCGTYTGSCGATTCARATGAAAGTTGAGATCCATTCTATGCAAATGTGTAAACACATTGCCGGCCACCCGTCKTATGGAATCGTGGGCTACTTTGGCAAAAACGGCGTTCCKGAGCTCATTGAACAACGATGAACCGGCTCTGGCCATACCATCTAAAAAACAACAAATATTACCGATTATTATACAACAATAATCCGGTGGAGTATTAACAACAAACATACAGCCAATCATTAGGGCCACTGCCGTAGTCATTACCGTACTGGCCGGATCCGATAGTGCCAACAAGTTKCCAGTGTTGGCATTCAGATGGTCGATGCCGTGCTTGAATATAAACGGTATCTCGACATTGATTACCTTACCGGCGGTAATTGGGGAAACAAAAATAAATTACCGATAAGTTTTGGTTTATTTTTTTAATGGACAACAAATCAATCAATCAAACCTTTGCCAATACTAAGAGACCCATCGATGCGGTCACTCGACGCCTGATTTCGGGTTTWTCTTTTGGCCAAACGTAGCCAAACATTTGTTTGAGTATATGAATGGCGCCGATCTTTGGCGGCCGTCCATCRCTRGTGCCGGCGGTAGTATCGTTAGTTATTGTCGAATAGSATCGACACCACCACCAAAATGTCGGGTCGATTGATAACCGCTGATGACCACTACCGCCACCGGCGCCACCAACACCACCACTGTTGCCGGCGGTAACGGCTGCRGCGGCGGACAACTGTGTAACGATTAAAAAAAACAATTTAATTAGTGGTCATATCGGGAACGGGAGAGTSGGATRTCTCATACAATGTGCGATGATTTACTACTACTASTASTACTAGTCGTCCACTTATTGTTGTTGTTGGCGATAGTGTCGGCCGATTGTCGGTAATATAATCTATTGCTTGCCGTTGTCGTCGTCAGCCGTAACTGCTGTCGTCCGCTGGCCGCGTATTGGCCAATGTTTCGGCCACCGATGATTAACTGCTGTGTATATATAATCGGTAATTAATAATAAAAAAAATTGGCCAAAACAAATAAGGCCGCGGACTAATGTGTGCGGACAAACCTTTTTGGCCACCGCCGATAAACAACTWGTGGTCGTTAGTTGCCGACGCCGACAGCCGGCGSCGCCGACTAAYATACGCCTATAATTTGGACACCGATTGGCGCGCAAAAATGATGGTCAGCAGTGGCGGCGTCGGCGGCAATGATACTATCAGATGATTTGTCGACATTAACAATAGTCGYGACATTATTATTATCTGTCCRGTTGGTTGGCCCACACATACGCGGGAGTCCCGTAAACAATAAAAWTGAGGTCAAACTGTTGAGTGTTGTTATGTTATCTCAAAAAAAATAATTGCATTCAAAATACATATGTATTTATMAATCATATGTTATGTAATGTTTTGTTTACATTTTGCTATATATWWTAATAATTGCATTGCATTTCAATATAATTTATTGTATAACTAATACTACAGTAGTATAGGCTCTCTCTCTATATATAAATAGCGCTTAAATTAAATTAAAAAATAATAATAATAAAACAGTTATTTAAAAAAAAATAAATATTTTTTTGTTTATTAATTAAATTAAAATTAAATTTAAATAAATTAAAATAAATAATCAATTTATTTATTTATATAGCAGTAATAAAAGTAACAAAACTTTTTTTTTAAAAAAATTATTATATTTTTTATTTATTTAAATTGATTTAATTATTTAATTTATTTATTTTTTTCAACAACAAAAAAATCAATAGTCTATATTATAATAATAATAATAATAATAAACAACAATTTATAATATACTGTATAAAGTTTGTTAATAAAGTTATAATAATAATAATATTAATAATAATATTGTTGTTTGAATTATATAATAAAAATTAATTAGAAATTTTTTTTWTATATATATGAATTGTATGAATTTGTTTTTTTATATATAAAAAATCAATCAATTAATAGATAATATATTAAACATGTGTATCAAAATTATTAATAATAATTTTACAATCAATTTATTATTTTAGCMAAAAAAATCTATATATATATAGTGAACACACAAAACTAAATATTAATCGTATAAYTGAATACTAGGATAAAAAAAATTATAATTAATAATTAAATTATAATAATAATAATAATACCGTATTTATAMACAAAAAWRCAAGTTTACCATASATTGGRGGGGKGGGGWGGGGKGGAAGGGTGARWTGGGGAGGGGGTAATAATAATAATAATTATACGGTACTAATGATAATACTTGTCGTATATATATATATAATATTATATATAAATTGCAATAATAATAATAATAATATAATCACATATTTATAATTTAATAATAAAAAAAAATTGTGTGGAAAACAAACAAAATAATTAATCAAAATATACTACTAATAAATATTATTATTATTAAATTCAATTAATTTAATTATTAAAAAATACTAATAATAACTTATTATAATTAATTGATTCAATCAAATCAAATCAAATCAAATCAAATCAATCGCTTGAATTACGCTTAGGTTCGGGCATTTGAAACACTTTGATTAGGTCGGGGTTCGGTAGGTTCTGTAGTTTCAATGGCGATAGAAATATAAATTGTTTSCCGCATTTCGAYGACGCAAACTCGATCATAGCGTCCAACGATATCTTACGGGTAACCAAATCCATGAAAACGTCCACTTCATCCAATATTTTGAACGGCGAGTGTGCCGACTCCCACAAGGCCAGTATGAARGCTACCGTCGAATAGGAACGTTCGCCACCCGATAGCGATCGGGTATCGCTGTACGTACTCGACGACGTACTGGACAGTTGTGTACTACTACACTGGCTATCAGCCGTTGCCGATGCTTTCGGATTGACCCGTATTTCYAAGGTTTTAGCTTTTTTTTGTTCACCATTTACTTCTTTGTTTTGATGATAGATATCGAGGGAACCGGTAAACCCCTTGTGCTGGAGTACATCCATGAAAAAAAACTGTGTAATTACCGAATAGAATGACCGCAGTTCGACATAACCGCGTCGGCGAAGATTCARCGATTCTTTTAGTCGAATCAAATTCGTTTCAATRGTGTGAACGTCTTGTTTGATACGACGAAACTGTTGACTCAGGTCTTTGTATTGTCGATAGATTTGWTCCTTATTGCCGATAGTGGTCTCCTGTTCGGCCAGAAATTGCTGYAACTGTCTGATCTCGATCTGTACGGTCTTCGATGATCGGCGGGTTCGTACCGGTTGACCAGTTTTGGCCAGTGCTTGCCGCTCGAAATCTTCGTATTCGGACTCTTTGACTGCCAATCTAGTTTCCTCTTCAGTCTTCAGCGATTCCGTATCCTTGACCTTCTTCTGGAACTCGTTCAGCGCTGTCTGATGCGTACGGATATCGCTTTTGCATTTTTCTAGACTTTCTTTTAGCGGATGWCKYGATGCCAACAGATCTTCGTATTCGGTTTTYCGCAGTCGATATTCGTCATCCAGTTCTTGGTATTGGTTCGCTAGCCGTTCCTTTTCATCCCTAATCTCTTCGAGACATAAATCTAATTCAGATTTCTTATCCGTACTCTGTTGTAACGATTCTTCCAATGTTGACACTTCAACGGGCGGCGAATCACCWATSGATTCCAGTCGCTGYAGTTCCGACTGCTGGYCCACTAAATCACGTCTGGTCTGACGTTTTTGTTGTTCAATACGAGCTAATTCTTCTCGTTTACCCGTAATTTCCTGTCGATTTCGATCGACCAGTTCCTGAACGCCGCGCTCTTTTCGGGCCAAGTCGTCGATTTCAGCGCTAAATCGTTGTATCATTTCATCGACACTTTTGACCAATACTTTAACCGATTGGCGATTATTGTTGGCATATGTTTTGAAATCTTGATCCTCGGTTTGCGGATACATAACAGCGCCGTCCTCTGTATACGTCTGGAAACAGTTAGCCGGCGGTGAGGTTAACATCAGATCGCGGGCWGAGTTATAGTCGGGTACGTATAGTATCTGTTCGATACGGAACTGATCAATGAGACAGTTGGCTATTGGTGTCTCTTTGACTTTAATTAGATCGTAAAAACTTTTGTATGTCGGATGTCGGACCCGATGACGGTCGACGTCATGCAGGGTCCAAACGGTCGGGTGATTATCGACGGCATACGCGATTGGCCGCGAAATACTTGCTGGAAAATCTTATCCAATTGGCGTTTATCGTCCATATTGTCGCAACAGAAACCATAGATCAGTCCTTTCAGACACATTTCGACGGCCAATGCGCACCGATAGTCGGTTAGCTGCAGATGATAGCCAATCGGACCCAACGGCCGRTGTTTGAATAGTCCTCGCTTATGGCTATCGTCGATACGGCGGACCAGTTCGGAAAACTGTGGCCCGAAMCGACTCAGCCGRTCATTRCGCGAGCCTTTCAGCCGTTCCATATCCCGCCGCTTGCCGTCGATCATCGATTTCAGTTGACGATCGTCTTGCGTATGCCGTAGACCTTCTTCGGTCAATTGTTGAACCGATTCGTTAAACTCTTGAATACTGTCGACCAGTGACTGCTCTTTCGTATTCAATTCGTCGATATTTTCCCGCAATTTCTGAATATCTAACTTACGTTTCGTATGACTTTCATTACTATTAAAAGAAAAATTGAAATTAAATTATCGGTAAAAATATAAATGTCTGAAAAAAAAATCAATAAATACCTGTATTGTTGTTCAAGTTCTTCGATTTTCTGTTGCAATGCCTTAATATCGTTATTAATGCTAATAATTTCGGTCCTCAGTCCACGATCTCGGGCCTCAGTCGCCTGTAGTTCTTCTTTGATGGCCAACAGTCGGCGCCGATAATCATCTTTCAGTTCGTTTGCTTTATTCGTATTTTCAAACAAACTATTAGACTGTTCCATACATTCCGTCTCTTTCCGACGCAACTCATCCAATCGTTCAGTCGATTCGGTCAACTTCTTCTGTTCGGCCGACAATCGTTTGTCCAATTTTTCCACTTCATTGCGAACCAATTGAACCGATTGTTTCTGTTCGTAGACCAGCGACCAAATGGCTTCGTTGTTCAACTGAAGAAACTTTTCCCTCTGATTCTCCAATTGGTTAAACAATTTAACTTTTCGTTCCAAATCCTGGATGTCTTTGGCAGTCATCGGTATTATCTTTTTCTTGTCCATCAGTTTCTGTTCCGACGACAGTCGTTGTTCTTCACTGTTTGCATAATCATTCTTCATATCTTCGAGTAGTGTCGCCCGCATAAAGAACTGGTATTTGTCTCTCGAGTTTTTTGTATTCAGAAAATTACGGGAAACTTCCTGATTCAGTACACATATCGGATTGTCCACTTGAATGTTAAAATAGCGTATAATATCGTTCAACGCATCCCGACCTTCGGCTACCACACGGCCGTCACTAGACTTTAGTTTATAACTCGACGCCGATAAGGATATCGATCGCTCTATTATTATCGACTGTCCATAGAGTTCCTCTTTGAACCCGCGCTGACCACCGGTTCGTTCGGTTGAGTTGCAAATCTTCAGTATTATTTTAGCCGCGGATTCGCCACTCTTGATAAACGATTGGACACCTTTGCCGCGGGCCGTAGCCGTCGCACGGCCGCCAAATACCAGGACAATGGCCGTCAAGATAGCACTTTTGCCACCTATTTGTTTGGGAGAATATATAGGTATTAAACAACAGAGACAACAATTAGACGGCAATTATTAATAATACTTACTTCCGTTACGGCCGACAATGAAATTAATTCGCGGACCTAATAGAGTGGGAAAACAAGCAATTAGTAGTCAATCGGATCCAACAATAAATTGATCCCAAAATGAAATACTAACCAAAGTCCAGATGAAAATTTGAATGACACATAAAATTCTGTAAAGTTATCGACTCTAGTGTTCCGCATTCGGGTTCATTCAATTTGGCCAACTCTTCCGCTTCTTTTTGTAGATTACTGACATTCCTCTGGATCTGTGTATGCGATGGTTCGCAAAACGAATAGTTAAATCCGTCGGCAAACCCGTCGTTGTCTTCATCGTTGTCGATGCCGTCGTCGTCGTCGTCGTCAGCCATCATCTCCTGCGACGGCAATCTCTGGGATAGCATTAGTTCTTCGAGATCATCGTCGACGGCATCGTTGCCATCATTATTGT